CTTAATATAATTTTTTCCAAGTTTTTCCGTTTCCTAACAAATGGGGCAATGTCATTCTTTCTGATGGAGGCATAGAATTCCATTGTGTATATATATATATTTTTTTAATTTACTTTTTTGCCCCATCAAGGGGCTTGAACTCAGGGCCTGGGTACTACCCCTGAGCTTTTTTTGCTCAAGGCTAGCACTCTACCACTTGAGTCACAGCAGCACTTCTGTTTTTTTCTGTTTATGTGGTACTGAGGAATCAAACCCAGGACTTCATTCATTCTAGGCAAGCACTCTACTAGTGAGCCACATTCCTAGCCCCCACTGATAATTCTTGTCTAAATCAGATACTGATACTAAGACAGCAAAATGGTGATTTTCTAATTTTTCATTCCTGCTACATTGCTTAGGTAAATTTAACTAACATCTAGCTATAATGAAAACCTTTTTCTTATCACTATGGAGTCATAGATTCTAGTTTCACTTAATGGGCTATAATTTATTTTAGACTTGAGGCTTGTTCATGCAGGAGAGCACCTGCCCAGCAAGTACAACATCCTGAGTTTAAACACCATTACTGCCAAAAAAACAATATTCAGTTTGAGATGCACACTGCCCCAGATTTTATTTGGCCAGCATAAGCCTCTCCAGGCTACATCAGTGCTCTTTTGATACATTCTCACTATTTCTTTAGCACTTCATTGCTTTCTGACACAACAAGGAATCCTAGGTTCATGTTACTTTCTTTTCTTCCCCATGCCTTGTAACTGGCCATTTCTTCAGGGGATCCTTGTTCCTTTTAGTAGAAATATTCAGAAATTAAGATCTAGGGGCTGGGAAGGTGGGTCAGTGGTAGAGCACTTGCCTTGCATGCATGAGGCCCTGGGTTCGATTCCTCAGCACCACATAAGCAAAAAGAAAAAAGCCGGAAGTGGCGCTGTGGCTCAAGTGGTAGAGCGCTAGCCTTGAGCTGAAGAGCTGAGGGACAGCGTCCAGGCCCAGAGTTCAGGCCCCACGACTGGACTTCCTCCCCCCCCCCAAAAAAAAAAAAAAGAAAGAAATTAAGATCTAGGTATTAGATGTTCTTGTTACTGCTGGGGTATGTATAATGAAGATTTTAAAAGGTAAAGTGAATATATAAATTGCAAAATGGAAAATAATTTTTTAAAAAACCTAAAACTTCTAAGGACCCAAATGGAAATCTTAGTTCAGTCACTTACTAGATATGTCATTTTGGGAAAATCACTTCATGAACCTCTTTGAACTTACATATATGAATACCAATTTTCACAAAACTGCAAGATATTTTTGCTAGTTTCCAGAAAACTGGAAGTGGAGCTGTGGTTCCAAGTGGCAGAGCATAGCCTTGTACAGAAAAGCTCAGGAACAGTGCCTAGGCCCTGAGTTCAAGGCCCATGACTAACACCTCTCCCCCCCCCAAAGAAAAAGAAGAATAGAGGATAAAATACTAGGAGCTGAATTCAACATTTTGAAGTCACAGTACTCTGGTTGTGTCAAATATTGTGTATATTGGCATGATGACCTAATTATTCTAACTTACAGTACTGAAGATGAAAAGGAAGAGGAGAGTAGTGAAGATGAAGATGTAGATAAGCGCCGTCTTAATGATGAATTATTAGGAAAAGTTGTAAGTGTGGTATCTACGACTGAGAGGCCTGAGTGGCATCCTGCTTTGGTAAGTAAAGTTTTTTGGACAGTTAGGGAACCAATCAAATATCTGTATAATCATTTAAAATGTTTTGGAAGTATTTTACAACTTATATTCAAACCTCCCTGCAGTTTAAAAGTTGAGCAGTCAGTTACAAAAATTTAGATTTCTTTCATTTCCTTCTGTTCATTCTATAATCACTTGTTGTGATCTTCCAGGTCCTTCAAAATCTGTCTAGTGATCTTCCAGGTCCTTCAAAATCTGTCTAGTGGACTCTTGCCCTGTATCCTATTGCCGTTTTACACCCTTAGCTTCCCTTTGCTTGACCCTGGATTCTTTCTGAAATATAGATGTATCTTCTGGAACTTCAAAAAAATCCCTGTGCATATGTGTTTGTATTTGTGGGTTTGTGTGTGTTGGTGCTGGGACTTAAACACAGGACTTAACCTCATGCTTGCACTTGCTTTTCCATGTGCAGCTGGCTTCTCTCTGTCACTTAACCACAGCTCCACTTTCTGCTAGTTAATTGGAGATAAGCATTCCAAGATTTTTGTCTTCCTGAGTTGGCTTCAAACCTTGATCTTCAGATCTCAGCCTCCTGAGTAGTCGAATATAGGCATGAACCAGTAGTGCCCAGCCTTAAAGATGAATCTATTCCTGCATTCAGTACTAGTACTTGGGCTTGAATTCAGGGCCCAGAAAGCTATTCCTTAACTTTACTGCTCAAGGCTGGTTGTCTACCCATTGAATTACATGTCCACTTCTGGCTTTTTGCAGATAAGGGTTTCACAGACTTTCCTGCCTGGGCTGGCTACAACATGGATCTTCAGATTTCAGCCTCCTAAGTAGCTAGGATTATAGGTATAAGTCAATAGTAGGTGTGGATCAAATAGTAAAGTGATTGTTTGGCAAGGGCAAAGCCCTGAGTTCCAACCCAAAATTTTCTATATACATCTAAAAGTATAATAATTAAACAGGAGTTACTCTTCCTCCAATTTGAGAATTTTTTTTTTCTTTTTACAGTCCTAGGGCTTAAACTCGGCCTGGGCACTGTCCCTGAGCTTCTTTTGCTCAAGGCTAGTACTCTACCACTTGAGCCACAGCGCTACTTCCAGCTTTTTCTGTTTATGTGGTGCTGAGGAATCAAACGCTGGGCTTCATGAATGCTAAGCAAGCACTTAGCCACTAAGCCCCATTCCAAGCCATGAGAGAAATCTTTAAAAAAAAAATCATTAATTTTGTCATGACAATTTCATTCTCAAAAATAAACCTTCAGTTGGTCATAGTGGTACATGTCTGTGGCCCAGCTACTGGGGAGGCTGGGGCAAGTTTGAGTTTAAGACTAGCCTGGGTAACACAGACACTGTCCGAAAAAAAAGTAAATAAACCTTTATTGAATCTACCTTAGCAACTGATTTTCAGTCTGTAAATGGATGTTTGGACCATCCGTAGCTCTTATTTCTTATTTTTACTATAATCTCTGCAAGTTATTTTGTTTTTATAAAAGTCTTTAGGGGCTGGGAAGATGGCTCAGTGGTAGAGCACTTGCCTTGCATGCATGAGACCCTGGGTTTGATTCCTCAGCACCACATAAGCAAAAAGAAAAAAAGCCGGAAGTGGCACTGTGGCTCAAGTGGTAGAGCACTAGCCTTGAGCTGAAGAGCTGAGGGACAGCGCCCAGACCCAGAGTTCAGGCCCCATGACCGGCCCCCCCCCCAAAAAAAAGTCTTGAATTGCCTCCTATGCAACACACTAATTCCTATGAGCCTTTAACCTGCCTTAAGTTAACCAGTATTCACTGAAGATCTGCAGAGTTGGCTTTGTTTTAGTTCCTTAGAACAAAGTTGGGTGGGGTGACGTAAGTGTATAATCCCAGTACTCAGGAGTCTGAGCCAAGAGAATTATGATTTGGAGATGAACATGAGATCTATAGCAAGTTTTAAGGCAAACCTGGGTTATGAAACTGTCAAAAAAAAAATGAAGTTGGGGCTGGGAAGGTGGCTCTGTGGTAGAGTGCTTGCCTTGCATGCATGAGGCCCTGGGCTCAGGACCACATAAACAGGAAAAAGCCAGAAGTGTGCTATGACTCAAGTGGTAGAGTGCTAGCCTTGAGCTGAATAGCTGAGGGACAGTGCCCAGGCCCAGAGTTCAGGCCCCACGACCGACAAAAAAAAAAAAAAGTAGTTAGTTCAGTGGTATAGTACTTGCCTAGTTTATACAAAGCCCTGGGTCTGATCTGATCCCCAATACCAAAATAAAGAAGCAACCTCCCCCAAAAAGCAAACTGTAAGTTCCTTAGAGAATTATAAGATTTCAGTACATTGCCTTCAAGAAGTTTTTTTTTAGCCAGGTGTAATGGCTCATACCTACAATCCTAGGAAGCATAAAATGAAGAAGATTGTGAGTTGAGGCCAGCCTGGGCAAAAGTTTAGGAGACTTCAACTTAAAAGAAAAAGCTATTTGGGCACTGGTGGCTGTAATCCTAGCTATTCAAGAAGCTGAGATCTGAGGATTGTGGTTCAAAGCCAGCTTGGACAGGAAAGACCATGAGACTCTTATCTCCAATTAACCACTAGAAAACTGGCAGTGTCACTGTGACTCAAAGTTGTAGAGCGCTAGACTTGAGCAAAAAGAGCTCAGGGATAGCGCCTAGGCTATCCTAAGTTCAAACTCCATGACCAACAACAACAACAACAACAAAAAAAGCTGAGTGTACTGACATGCAGCCACCATTCCAGTGATGATGTGAAGCATAAATAGGATTGTAGTCCAAGCATGCCAAGGCACAAAGCAAGACCCTTATCTCAAAAACAGCAGGAGCAAAAAGGGCTGGAGGTGTGGATCAAATAATAAAGTGATTGTTTGGCAAGAGCAAAGCCCTGAGTTCCAACCCAGTACTGCCAAAATTTGCTTATATATATCTAAAAGTATAATATTAAAGAGGATTTACAACATATGACTCTTCCTCTAAGTATACCATCCTTTAGTCAATTTGTGTGTATCATATGCATGTAACTCTGTATGTGTTATCATGTATGTTTGTATTTCAGATCTAACTTCCTCATATGAGAGAAAAAATGTAGTCTCTCTGAGCCTGCTTTACTTCACTTAATAATAAATTATTTTCAAGGTTCATCCATTTCCCAATAAATGACAATTGTGTGTGTGTGTGAGTGTGTGTGTGTGTGTGTTTTGTTTCCTTTTTGCTTTTCCTTCGGTTATAGTGTTAGCCCTTGAGGGTAGGCACAACTGTATTACAACAAGCACCTAACAAACAAATAGAAAAAGTTTATCTTTACCTGATGTTAAGATGTGTGTGACTAAGACTTTTTGCTTGTTTGTTTGCACTGGTACTGGGGCTTGAACTCAAGACTTGGGTACTGTCCCTTAGCTTTTTTGCTAAAGTATGGTCCTCTGCCATGTGAGCCACAGCCCCACTTCTAGATTTTTGGTAGTTAGAGATAAGAGCCTCATGGGCTTTCTTGCCTGGGCTGGCTTGAACTGTGATTCTCAGATCTCAGCCTCCTGAGCCGCCATGATTACAGGTGTGAGCCACAAGCACCCAGCTCTACTAAGAATATTTGATACTTTTCATATTGACTGTTTAGTATGATTGCCATTACCTGTTTGTGACTGAGTTTAAACATAATTGGGTCTGGAGTGTAGCTGAGTGATAAAAGAGTACTTACTTAGTATATGCAAGCTCCTTCCTTCCATCCTGTCCCATATAAGAACATACTACACCCCGAGAATGTGCAAATTCAGGTTCTGAGTGCCATGTGGCTCTTCCTCTACTACACTGAACAGTGCAAAACTCATATTTCTATAAACTTCCATATCTAAAGATCTGTGGATAGTGCTAACTTTCAGCATAGAGCTTAATATTAAGGGAGATTGTGAACAAGTATATTTGGTTTATTTTTTCATTCATTTTGAAGAGAGGGTAGAGGCTTGCTATGTTGCCCAGGTTGGCACTTCAGATTCCTGGGCTTATCATCCTGCCTGAGGCTACTGATAGGCATCACTGACCTGGCTTAATTTTACTAATAGTACTATTAAGACATGTTACTTTCAAAAGTTAAAAAATTAGAGATTTTTGTTGTTGTTGTTGTTGTTGAGATTTTATTTTATTTTATTTTTTTGGTAATGGGGCTTAAACTCGGGGCTTGGGTGCTGTCTCTGAGCTCTTTTGCTCAAAGCTAGAGCTCTACCAATTTTAGCCACAGCTCCACTTCCTGCTTTTGAGAGGTTAATTGAAGGTAAGAGTTTCATGGGGCCTTCTCTGCCTGAGCTGGCATTGAACCCACAATCATCGGATCTCAGCTTCCTAAATTAAATAGTTTAGGATTACTGACATGAGCCACTGATATCTGGTTTGAGATTTTTTTATTGTTAAAAAACATGCCTGCCTTAGTAGGAAAGGGAATTTACATGACTTTGTTGGTGGTGGTTATGGGGCTTGAACTCTGGGCTTGGGTGACGTCCCTCAGCTCTTCAGCTCAAGGTGAGCACTCTACCACTTGAGCCACAGCGCCACTTTCGGTTTTCTGGTGGTTTATTGGAGATAATAGTTTGGCGGACTTTCCTGCCCAAGCTGGCTTTGAACCTTGATCTTCAGATCTCAGCCTCCTGCGTAGCTAGAATTACAGGCATGAGCCATCAGACCTAGATGACTTGTTTTGATGGTACAGAGGTGAAAGCTCATCCTTGAACTTGCTAAGTATTGTATCTTACACTCTAGTGCCTGTGTATTTTTATTTATTTATTTTGTCCGTTATGGGGCTTGAACTCTGGGCCGGGGCACTGTCCTTGAGCTCTTCAGCTCACGGTGAGATCTCTACCACAGGAGCCATAGCTCCACTTCCTGTTTTTGAGAGGTTAATTGAAGATAAGAGTTTCATGGGGCCTCCTCTGCCTGAGTTGGCTTTGAACTGCAATCCCAGATCTTAGCCTCTTGAGTAGCTAGGATTACAGGTGTGAGCCACTGGTGCCTGGCTCTTATGTATTTTTTAATAACCAGATTTAAAAATAGATGCTGATTTAACCATATTTTTAAATGGTAATACACAAAGTTTTCATGATAGATTATACATTCCCAAATTTATATTTTGGACAGAAATGAATTTTTTAGCTTAGAATAAACCCTGATACTTTTAAAGTTTTAGTAATTTTAGTTTATATTTCACTAATCTTTTTTTGTATTCTATTGACTGGATAATTTAACTAGAAAACCAATATGATAGACAAAAACATAGGGAAATCTTTTGTAAGTAATTCATTAATAATGGGCGTTCCTTATGGTAGAGTTGGGTTTTTTTGTTTGGTTTTGTTTTGTTTTGGTCATGGGGTTTGAACTCAGGACCTAGGTAGGCACTGTCCTTGGACTCTTGCTGAAGGCTAGTACACTACTACTTTGAGCCACAGCTCCACTACTGGTTTTTGAGTAGTTAGAGGTAAGAGTCTCATGGGGACTTTCCTGCCCAAGCTGGTTTTGAAGTATGATCTTCAGATCTCTGCCTCCTGAGTAGCTGTGAGCCACTAGTACCCAGCTTTGGTTGAGCTATTTCTAATCCATTTTAGTGGTCCAGGGATCTAGAATCATTGTTTTAAAAAATATTCTCTTTTTCTGAGCACGAAAAGTAAGAATCATTTGCTTTTTCATTTTTATTTCAGGTAATATCTCCTAGCTGTAATGATGATGTCACAGTGAAAAAGGATCAATGTTTAGTTCGATCATTTATTGATGCTAAATTGTAAGTAATGAAACACTCAATAATGATTCATGGGAGGAAAAATAGAAACGGAATCATGGTGATTTCGATCCTTCTACCAAAATATTATTTTAAAAAAGTGTCATATGTGACATAAGTTGAGTAGTTATCTAACATGGTTTAACTTTATATCATGTAGAGGATATGTTTTGCTGAAAAGCTTTATATAAAAACTGAGAACATGAATAACACTTGTTTTTCTTATGTGTGAGATTTTTATATTGTGAACTACGAAACTTACTTTTAATAGAATTTATGTTTCTTGAATAATCACTTTTACTTTTTAGTAAAAGTCAGATTTTTAGAAACTTTTCCCTAGCTCCATCTGTTTTGTTATTTTAAAAACTTCTGGTGAAGCTGAGTGCTGGTGGCTCATGCCTGTAAAACTACTTATTCAAGAGGCTGAGATCTGAGGATCGCAGTTTGAAGCTAGCCTGGGCAGAAAATCTCATGAGACTTACCTCCAGATAACCGGCAAAAAGCCAGAAGTAGAGCTGTGGCTGAAGTGGTAGAGTTCCAGCCTTGAGCAAAATAGCTACACAACAGTGCCCTGGCCCTGAGTTCAAGCCCCAGTACTGGCAAAAAAAAAAAAAAAAAGAATGAAAAGGAAAAGTGAAATTAAATGCATATATCTGAAAGTAAATCTCTGAAAATTTTAAACTATAATAAAGTTATTTTAATATTTAGCAGTAATATTGTCTTTGCCTTCCACTAAATTAAGTTAAAAATAAGTATAAAACATTTGGATAGGCAATACTGTTACAATGTTGAAACCATATTGATATTAATGACCATATATTGTCTATAGGATGTTTACATAAGAGTGAATTTGAGGCTCTTAGTGTACTTTGAAAACTTTAGAAGGGAAAAACTTTACTAGGAATTTGAGATATGGTTTTTGACTTTGAAATACTGTAATTTTGAACATTAATTTTGAGTTTCAAGGCTACATTAATGTGGACTGCTTATGTAATTCTTTTAATTTAAAAAATGATTTTCCTTCTTTTTGCTCTTCTCTGTAATTAGTTACTCTGTAGCAAGAAAGGATATTAAGGAAGTAGACATTCTCAATCTGCCAGAATCTGAGCTCTCCACCACACCAGGTAAAAGAAAGATGACTCAATGTATTATTTCATGATATGGTTCTCTGTATATAATAGGCAATACAGCATTATTGAATACTCTCTGGTATGGCATTTTTCCTGTATATAGTTGATAGCCATAGTTGATAGCCATTCTTATTTGATGGTATTATCTTAAATGCCTAGATAAAGTATTTGATTATTTATTTATTTGTTGGTTGTGGGGCAGGAACTCTGGGCCTCGGAGCTGTCCCTCAGCTCTTGGGCTTAAGGCAAGCACACTACCACTTGAGCTACAGCACCACTTCCGGTTTTCTGGTGATCAGAGTCACATAGCCTTTCTTTCCTGGGCTGGCTTTGAACTTTGATCCTCAGATGTCAGCCTCCTGAGTAGCTAGGATTACAGGTGTAAGCCACCAGGGCCCGGCTTGGTTGATATATATATATATATATATTTTTTTTTAATCTATATATATATATTTTTTTTTTTTTTGTCGGTCATGGGGCTTGAACTCTGGGCTGGGGCTCTGTCCTTCAGCTCAAGGTGAACATTACCACTAGAGCTACAGTGCCACTTTCAGTTTTCTGGTGGTTTATTGGAGATAAGAGTCTCACGGACTTTCTTGCCCTGGCTGGCTTTGTTTGAACAGCAGTCGTCAGATCTCAACCTCCCGAGTAGCTAGGATCACAGGCGTGAGCCACCAGTCCTGACGATAATTTTTATAGAAGGTTAACCTTATGTTTTACTTTTAAGATTTCTAACAATATTCACTGGGTCTGGGAGTCCATGCCTGTAATCCCAGCACTTAGCAGTAGAATCATCAGTTTGAGTCTACTTTGGACTACATAGTGAGACACTTGTCTAAAAAAAAAATTCTCACAGTATTTCAGAGAGTAATAACAAACGTTTATATAATAATAAGTGAAATACGTTCACATTTACTATATTGCTTTTAAGTGACAGCTGAATTTGAAGTTAGCTCTTCTGACTCTGAGTATCATGTCTTTTCGGCCATTCTATGATTCTAATTCCTTATCAACTGCTGAACTACATTTTCATTTTTAGGTCTGCAGAAAGCAAGTGTCTTCCTAAAAACTAGAATTGTTCCTGATAATTGGAAAATGGATATAAATGAAATCCTTGAGTCTTCCAGTAGTGATGATGAAGATGGCCCAGCTGAAGAAAATGATGAAGAGAAGGAAAAGGAAGCCAAAAAGGAAGAAGAGGAAGTGGTAAGTACAATTTCATGTTTGTAACATATGAAACATTATGTTGCTCTTTAGTACAAATAATACTTTTAGCTTTTAGCTCAACTTCCTTGGGAGTTGAAAAAAACTGTATAAATCCGGACTGGTATTTAGTGCATAAAAAATTTACAAAGAAGGTTGGGCATCAGTGGCTTATACCTGTAATCCTAGCTACTCAGGAAGCTAAGATCCAGAAGCCAGTTGGGGAAGAAAAATCTGAGAGACTTCATCTCTATTTAAGCAGACAAAAGCTAGCCATTAGAGCACCAGCTGTGAGTAAGCAAGCTGAGTAAACAAGCCCTGAGTTCAAGTTCTAGTCCTGGCAAAAAAAAAACCAAACAAACACAGAAAAGGAGGTACTTCTCAGGTTTAATCAACAAGTGCAAACTGGTGTTTGGGGTTTTTGAAATAATACAGAAAAAAAGAAAAATAACTTCTAGTTTTCTAAATTTATTTAGTTTTCGTTCTGTTTTTTTTTTTTTTTTTTTTCAAGGCAGGGTCTCTCAGGCTTGTCTTAAGCTCTTAGTCCTCCTGCATAAACCTCCCTAGTGCTGGGATTATAGATGTGTTCCACCATGTTTCCATGGCACAACTTTAAGTAACTGTTATTATCCCACTTTAAATATTAGCTAAGTGAGGGAAAGGAATGTCAAGTAATTTTCCCAAAATGTGATAAATAGGTTTTGAACCTGAGTCTTTTTTCTCTTAACTTCAGCACTTTGTAGGAGTAAAAAAAAATTTTACCCAGACCCAAAGAAAGTCTCATTTGACATCTTGATAAGTCATAGAAAAAATATATACATAGTATTTTATAAGTTCACATGATTTTCATTCTAATATTGCTATGTTAATTTAAAATATAATTACAGGAAGTCATCTTGTGTGTTTCACTGTTGCTCGCATGAATATTGTCTATTTATTGAGCAGTATTTTGTTAAATGGGATAAATTGTCCAGCATGTTGAGTTTAGGGGCAAAACAAAGAGAATTGAAAAGAGGCCCGTTTTAAGCATGAAATGTTTGTCAGGAAAAATGTGGGAAGTCTGTATTTTACATATACAGATGTGAATTTATAAAACAACATGATTATACTTGTATGTGTTGAAGAGTATGTGCTGTTTCTTTCTTTTTACTTCCCCTGCAGTATTTGGTTTTTTACACTCTGAAATCAGAATGGCGGTTCATACTTACAGGCTGCCTACAGAGTTGCCATAGTAACATGCTGTTGGTTTTAAGTGAGCATGCTCGGAAAGACAGGAAGGTTCAGCAGAGGCTTGGCAGGTTGCCAATGGAGGTTTGCCAGATGCTTTGAAATGGGCTGTCTTTCTTTTCCTTTCATGTAATGTCTGATTTTTATGTGGAAGAGAATGTAAGTAGTGCTGTATAACCCTGCGGATGCTATGCCCTAAGAGGGAAAGCAAATATTTGCAAGTCAGACTGAGAAATGTCCAGACCCCGTACTACTTAGAAGGGGAATCTAACCATTTTTCATTTGAAAGAAAATGCAGCACATAGGTAAGATTTTTTTTTAATTTTGGTTGATTTAGTTACTATTTTGACTGCCAGAGATGGGTTAAATAAGAATTTTAGGTATTGATGATGTGTTTAATATGATAGGGTTCATAACCAAGTGTAATTGTTTCTTGTAAAAAAGACAGGAGGAGTCTATTTTTAGAATATTAGAGGATGAAAGCTATTTTTCTGAAACGTAAGATAGATTTGGGAATGAGAAAAATAAGGAAACAGTTTGGCAAAATTCAGTATGTAAAAACTGAATATTAAATGTGGTTTTGTATATTATCTGTATTTATAGATGTTTTCAGGGTAAATAGGCCACATTTTTAGGGTGTGAACTGTTACAGTCTGTGATTTAGCTTTTTTTTTGTTTTTTTTTTTAAATTAACATTAGTTATGATCTTATGTTGCAGAATACTGTAAGAAAGATTAGTCTCTCTTTTTTTTTTTTGCTAATACTTTTAATTAGTGCCCCTTTCATTCACCCTACTCCTAAAATGTGAAATCTTAAACAAAGAGGATAAAAAGAGCTTTGTAGAAAGTTATAGAGGATGTCTATAAAATAATAGTGTTCATATTACAGTGATTAATTTCATAAGCATAATGTTTTATTTACGCTGTGAGTAGATGTTAGTAAAAAAGGATGAAGAACAGAGGTACAGCTCTGTGACCTATTGCTTATAGGTGATAAAAAATTTTAAAGGTAAGGATGCTTATAAGATGGCATCTGTTTGAAATGTATTACTTAAATTATGAACCTACTAAAATTTAGTGAGTTGGGATGCTATTCATGCACTGAAAAGTAACAGCAAAAATTACACCATTTAGGCACCGATTTACATGATTGTGATAAATTATTTTTCAGTTGGTCAGTTTCATAGCATATGTTTTCTTTAAATTCCTTGATAAAAACTGAATTCTTTCTTCTTTGGCCAGATAAGTAGGTTTTCTTTAGTGATATTTTGGTTGCTGTAGGAAAAAAAAATCAACTGCATTTCTTCCTCTTGGATTTAAGATTTAGTTGCTGAATCATTCTAACTTGCCTTGAGCAGTAATTTTAAAAAAATTAATTTATTAATAAGCTGAAAAGCAGTTTAGTCTACACATGACAAAAAGTAGAATGAATATAAAATATATAATGAATAATCTGATAAGTCAGGGCCTACCTGGCTTAGTCATTTTGGGCCTTTATACATAAGTGAGCCTAAGCTGTTCTATTACATTACAGATCATAAGTCTTTCCCCAAATCTAATGATGGTTTAATTTTCATGAAGATTTAATGTTGATTTACAAGGCTCAAAAAGGTCTTTTGTAATGTTCTGTAAATGATTATAATAATACTGCAGACTGTCATTTGATGCATGTAGTATAGCAAGCAATTTTATGCAGTAGAATCATACAAGTGTTAGATATTTCTGCAGTGTTAATGAGCAACAGACATTGCTTTTATATTTGATGCTTTGTAACATAAGTAATGGTAGTAAGGAAATTTGCAATTATATCATTTCATCATAGAGCATCTTTTTTACTTTACATTATTTTGGGTTCCTAAGCATTTTGTAGTTTAGGATTCAGGAAGAAGAAATGCTTTGTTATTGCTTGGGAAAAGACTTGAAAATCTGACAGATAGTAATAATGAATTTCAGTTGCAGCACATTGATAATTGCGTTGAAAAAAAAACCTTGGAGAATATTTTTATATTATTTAAATGCCTTTATTAAGAAAATTTCATATTTGAAAAGATGTTACTGAGTTTTTTTTGAGCTTTGAAATGGATTGATGGAAATACCAGGTAAACATAAGAAATGGTATCAATTATTCATTTGCTTCTGACTGAAATTTACTTTGGGCAAATAATATAGAGGAGATTGTTTTTTCTTAGCTTACATTATTTATACAGAGGGAGCCATTACGTTTCTACACATGTTTACAATATGCTCCAATCAATCACACTCCCTCTGTCACTTTTTGTAGAGGAGATTTTTAAGTGTAAAATAAATGGGTAGTTACTAGAAGATTATCAAGGGGAATTTGACTATCTAGCTTTCTCTTTCTTTTAAATTATTATGCTTTGAAATAAGTTGGCTTATGTGTTGAATTTTATTCAAAATTAGAATCTAATTTTGAAAAGGATACTTATTCTGTGTAGATATATGGACACTCATCTAATTTTATGCATTTTCTAGGGATCACTTTACATTTGATGCTTCAAATTTATTTCACTTTATAAAAATTGTTGGTGCTTGTTTTCTAATTCATGAAAATATGGTCATTACTTTTGTGTGTGTGTGTGTGTGTGTATGTGTGTGTGTGCGCGCTTTTCCTCTCAAGGCTGATGTTGTACTACTTGAACCACAGCTCTACTTTCAGCTTTTTGGTGGTTAATTAGAGATGAAAATCTCATGGATTTGCCTGCCCAGGCTGGCTACAAAGCTCGATCCTCGGGTCAGGGCCTCCTGAGTAAGTTAAGGTTACAGGTGTGAGCCCCTGGCACCAGACTGGATCATTACTTTTTGATGTTCAAACAAGTTTTGGGGGTTCATTTGGTATCTATTAACCTAACCATTTTTCCTAAATTGTATACTTGTATTCTAGTGATCATTCAAGATCACTTTGAGACTTTGAGTGTAAACGTTACAGTAAACACATGATAACTGAGGAAACCATGCAGTCAGTAAAATTTAAAAACGATGTAAAACATCATGTAGTTAGGCCATACTACTGCCAATCAGTTGGTTTTAAGTGGCCAATTTTACAAGTAATTTAGACTTTTGCTTACAATCAAATGTATGTGACAAGTTACTTGCTAAGGTCTTAAAATTGTAGCCTGTTAAACAAACAAAAAAGTTCTAATGAGGTTAGAAAAATCTTTTTTCAAAGTATCAGTATAAAATTCTAGCCAAATTAAGGTCATCTAATTATACCAACAGGGATTGAATATTTTTATGTACAAATAATACATGTTTATGCATTTATAAACCACTTTTTTTAGGGGCTGGGAAGGTGGCTCAGTGGTAGATCACCTGCCTTGCATGCATGAGGCCCTGGGTTCGATTCCTCAGCAGCATATAAGCAAAAAGAAAAAAGCCGGAAGTGGTGCTGTGGCTCAAGTGGTAGAGTGCTAGCCTTGAGC